TGTTGAGCCTGCTATCATTAGCAGGGGAGTTACTGTACGAGTGCCCAGGATAGAAACAAAACACTCGATTACAACACCACTGTGTGTACCCCCAAAAGGTATACGACTGGTTTCAGAGACAAAAATAAAAAAATAAAAATACTAGTCGTCCTTTGTGTGCAGCACTGCCGCCTTTGGGTTTTGACCTGAATCCCTCTAGTCTTGGCACACTTTCAGCGACATGCTAAAATGCACATGAACAATCGACGAGGTTGGGACTACTGGCTTCCCGAAGCACTTCGTTTTTCCGTCCTCACTGCAATGCTGCATGCGAGATATATTTCGGACGCTTGTAGAGGCGCCAACTTTCGCAGACGTACGTCCGTACTGTGGGCCGAATTATGCATTCTTATTTCGAACAATCTCCTGTACTCTGGTGTGGGTTGAATTCGGCACAAACATTTAGGACAACCTACACACGTCCAACCCCGCCATCACGCGTCACCTGAAGGCTTGTACTTATATTCGTCAAATATGTTGTCGAGTATAGTATATTCATCCTCAAGAATTTCAGCCTCGCCAACCCTTGCGTCTCCTGACATAGGAACACCCGGCGAACCTACGGATGCACCATGACTACCACAACAAGGCTTGCACGATCGCGGTAGCTCTTCAACAGCTACTACTCGTTTCTTCGCCTGGCCACCGGCAACTTTGTCGTTTGTCGTTTTTCTTGGAGCCGTCTTTGGTGCCCTCATACACTTTCCCAGACTGAAATCTAAGGTTTCAGGGCTGAAACGTCCCCCACATCCAGGATGATTTCCTCCAGCTCTTGCAGTTTTGAAGTGATGCTCGCGCGATATAATGAAACATCCGCTTCTTCCTTGCTCATGGCGACTCCTTTCAACAACTGAAGAACAATGCGCCTCACATCAGCCTAGTGTTATTCTGAAAAAATAGCAAGACGTTGTTTCCGTTTGTGGCTGAACGCATTTCAATTGCCCGACCGTAGCCAGATCGGCCTCCGCTGTTGGTCGGTTTTAGTAACAGCAGCCAAGAATCGCGTCGGCGAGACAACACAAATTATATACTGTATCTAACCATGATGTAAAACACTTGTTACTACGCAAAGACGGGAGGGCGGTGGCCCTTCTCGCATCTCTCCTCGTGAGATCTACATAATCTATCTACGCCGGACCGGAAACCGACCAACCACCGGGGGCTAATTAATGCTACTACTTCCGCTCCCGAGGGGCAGGGTGCCACGATCGCATTTGATTCTCGCGTCGTGCTAATGCGCAATTCCTGGTCACCTCCTGGCCTAGGAACTGCCCAACGCCACGACTGGTTCCGGTTTGGTCACGTGCCCATCTGTGTTTGGTCACGCGGTACGCTGGGAGGCGTTTGAATCTTGTATTTCGGTGAGAGCTAGAAACGAGATGCGGTATTGTTCAACCAAAGATGACAGTGAGATCAAGCTGGTTAACACCACAAGCGAGTTTCAAGGGAAAACAAGCCACGAAACAAACCATTCAAGCTTCGAGCAGCGCCACCCAAAACCCCATTGACTCACCGGCTTCACAGGTATACCACGGTCGTCTGAAATATCCTCTAAATCCCCACTTCCAACCCCGCGTCCAGCACCCGCACCGCCACACGAGCCCAGTTGTCTTTGGCGTTCCCTGCCCCAAAAATCCAGCAGCTGCGCCTTCCCCCTGCGATGGCGCGCGATGCACAATACCAGAAGAGCCCGGCGACGCCACCTCTTGTCGGCCCCGTCGGCGAGAGCGTTAGTCAGAAGCTCACGTGCGCGCCTGGCAAGGTCTACGTCCTCTTGTGTCTCTTTGGTGTAAGAATGTAAATTTGGATGTAGTATACCTCCATCCAATCTCTGCATGGCTGTCTTGCCTTCATTGTCAACCACGGTCTCGTCTGCGCCTGACTTCAGCAAGAACTCCACTATCTCGACGATGCCCATATTAACAGCATGGATCATGTAGGGCATGTGCGAAGGCATGCGGCTGTCCTTATCCTGTGTATTGAAGTCTGCACCGTGGTCCACGAGGGCGCAGATTTCGTCCAATTCGTGAGTACAATTGAGAGGTGTGCTTCCTCCTATCTCCCGACCTTCGATGTTGGCCCCAGCCTCGATGAGTAGATCCACCGTGGTCTTGTCCGACGTCCAATGAAGCGGTGTGAAACCTGACCAGTCAGCACCATTGACGTCCACCCCGAGCTCGATCATCGTTCTGACACCACCAGACGAGTGGGGAATGGTGGCTCGAAGAGTTGCGTCGGCCCCACCTGCCATGAGGATTCGCATCAAACCACACCAAATCGTGTTTCTGTCTCGTTGTGTTCTGGCAGTCCCAACCAAAAACAATTTAGCGACGCCAAACGATGTAGACGTGACAACAGCGTGTGGCCAAAGAACCAAACTCAGTACGAACGCATAAAAAGTACCACGGCATGACCACGTTGCCTGCTTCCTACATAACACGTTACCTATCCAAATATTCCCTTGGTGATGCAAACATCGCCGCCCACACCCCGGTCAGAACTCCCTCGAAAATAAATAGACTAGCTCGCATCGTGCTACAACAGTGCTCATCCTGGCCAACTTCCGCTCCGTTGTTCCACGAGCCTCTATTGTCAGGCTACCTTCAAAATTACAAGAGTGGGTTGATTGGTGAAACAAATATTTGACGAAAGGCGCTGGAAAGGGTGGACAATACAGACCGGCGGTTTGAGGTTTTCGATTCCCGGGAAAACAAAACACCATCAAGGCTACATTTTAGTCTCTTGCATCGCCACCAAAAACGACCCGCCTCACCAGATTTTACAAATACCTCCTCCGACCCCAGCACGATCCGCTCATCCACCACCGCGCCACCTCCGGCGAGCCCACCCGCGTTCAGAAGCTTGAGCCACGCCGGCATGCGCACTGCTTCTCTTCTCTCTCAGCTACACACCGTCGGCCGGGGCGTTCGCCATGGCTCGCGCACGCGCTCGACATCCTTCTGGTAGCTGCACCTACCGCTATTTTGCCATCCATATCCACGGTCGTCTCGTTCGCACCTGGCTTCAGCAGATGGTCCACCGCATGCGCAGCTCCTTGTGACTCGGCTTTTACCCTCTACATCTTGGGGTGGTATAACGTGAAGGTCCACCGCACGCGCGGCTGTGTACCGGCGTTTGAAGTTCGCTGTCTTGGGCGGATGTAGAATAGGACCACGACAAGCGCGGCCCCTTGTGACCCAGGGGGAACCGTTACGTGCTGCCGCCAATCGCAACGGCGTGTTTCTGTCATTTTTCACGAGGGTGGCCACTGCGTCAAGATCGATTCCGGACGTCGGGTGGGTCGAATGTGCCTCCTCGGTGGGGCTCGCCGGTGGAGTTGTTCCCTAGGTGTTTCAGGTGAGGCAACGCGAAACCAGCGAGGAGGGACAAAAGAGAACTCGTCAGTCTCCCTACACAGCGACAAATCCCCAAACCGAAAAACAATTAATTAAATCAAACACCCCATATATATTTCATAGACTGCATACATGCATATATGCATATATATATACCAATTCTGAAACCTATCAAACCCATCAAATACGACGGTTTGAATTTTTTTGTCTCTTGCTTCTCTACTTTCGTTCGTTCATTCATTCATTCATTCGATGATTCATATATATAGGGGGGTGTTTGATTTAATTAATTGTTTTTGGGTTTGGGGAGTACATATATATGGGGAGTACATATGGGGGAACCGAAAATAAACTCTGTGTTCTTCAGTCTAAGTGTGCTTTCAACGGCGTCTTGTATTGAGGCGTGCTTGCCAGCCGCTCGTCGAACGCTCTCCATGCTCCATGGTGTGTCGGCGGTGTTGCTCGTACGTTCCGGACGTCGGCCGCACGTTGTACACTTACTTCCCTTCTCCTCTGGGGCGTGTGTGTGCTTGTCCCGTGCACGAAAGGGAACGCACTTCCAACACTAAAATAAAATTTGACAAGTTCTACCGCTCTCAAATTATTCGTTCTATATAACACTTCAACTCGGGGGCGTGTGTATACATTGTGCAAACGTCGCGATGGGGGTATACGATGAACCGCGGACGATGCACGAGAGGGTCGGAAGCAGGAGGCCGAACGACCGTGTTCGGGAAGAACGAAGACAATCGTCGTGTCTTGAAGAGATAGAGGCGAAGCAGCAGAGTGTGCTTTATTTGGGGAGAGGATGCTGCGTGACTGAATGGGAGGGGGTGGGCCGAGCGGGGGAAGGGCAGCCCATCCGACGGCGCTGTTGTTCCATGATTTCGATAATGTCGGACCAGCCGCCACCGCTACGTCACGGTACCCGCCCCGCCACGTGTAGACTACCTGACCGAGGCCGGCAGATTGCGCGTTGCAGCTCGTGGGGAACATCACACTTTAACATTATTAAATGTTTGAGAAGTTCTGCCGCTCGGAAATTATTCGTTCAAAACAGTTGGAACTGCGGGGCGTGTGCGTACATTGCACGAAGGACCACACTTACTTACTTGAACTTAACATTTCACATGTTATGCCGGTCGGAAATTATTCGTTCGAAAGTACTTAGAACTCTGGGGCTTTTGTCTCTCACTTCCCGAAAAATGCCATTTTTATTATTGTGTCGCCGCGCAAAGGCCGGGTCTTGGAGGTAGAACTCTCTCCCTCCTTCCCGGCCCTTAGCCTACTAAGGAATCCACACGCTTCCTTAAGTAATAAGAACCAGGCTGACGACATTCCGCTGGTCGCCTAGCTTGGACACAAACCTCCCCACAAACCTCCATGCCTTTCCATGCTCTGCTCAAGCCTTCGCTTTTTGCCCGAGCACGCTTACCTCGGCTTACCGGTCGTTCCATGTCCTGCCCTTTGGCCAGAGACACGCTTACCTTGACCACACCCTTCGCATTATTCAGCCTTTCCATGCCCTGCTCAAGCCTAGAACATGCTTCCTCGACCTTCTGGCCTTTCCATGTCTCGCTCTCGCCAACAACATGCTTACCTCGGCTTAACCGGTCGTTCCGTGCCCTGCTGCTCAGCAGCCAGAGACACGCTTACCTTGACCCTATTTTTTTTTTTCCATCATTTGCCTTCCCATGCCCTGCTTCAGCCTAGAACACGCTACCCATGTCTAGCTTCCGCCCGAGACACGCTTACCTCGGCTTCAAAAACAAGAACAAAAAAAAAAAAAAATGAACCGACGATGCTCTTGCTCTCTTTCTCTGTCTGTCTCCTCCCTTCCGTACGCTCGCTTCCTTCTTCTTCCTCCTCTGTCTCTCTTCTACTCCTCCTCCTCTTGTTTGTTTGTTGTCTTGCTCTTTCGTTCAGATGTTTCTTCTGTTGTGGGCAAGGTGCATCTCTTTCTTTTCTTTTCTTTCCGGTACACATGCCTACCTATCTGTCAATTATCTCTTACCTACGGTGCCCCCTTTGATCTTTCTAACCGTTCTGCCAAAACACCAGGTTGTACAACACAACCTTCCACTTTTGTCTCTCACTTCCCGAAAAATGCCATTTTTATTATTGTGTCGCCGCGCAAAGGCCGGGTCTTGGAGGTAGAACTCTCTCCCTCCTTCCCGGCCCTTAGCCTACTAAGGAATCCACACGCTTCCTTAAGTAATAAGAACCAGGCTGACGACATTCCGCTGGTCGCCCAGCTTGGACACAAACCTCCCATCACGAAGTCTTGTTCTTCTTACTTCTGGATCCCTCTTCCTTATTTCTTCCCCATTCCGTCCCTTGCCCCGGCTGTCTCTCCAATACCCCTTCCCCTTCTTCCAACACCGCCGACACCCATGCTGGGTCTTGCATATTCGCCCTTACGTATGCCATGAATGCGTTCGACGACCACCTCCCTTCCTTCTTTATCACAGCCTCCGGTACCCCTTTCGCGGCCAGCCTCGTCGCCCCACCTATCCTTCCCGAATGTAACGCGAAATCTTCCGGTTTCAGCTTCGCC